TCTGTAAAATTACACATGCGTAGTTCTTCCAGCTACCTGCCTGATTTTTGTTAGGCGGTGGTTCTAAAGTGGTTTTCTGCCTGATGCTTCTACCCTTCTTTTCCTAGGGCTGTGTGTGTGTGTGTTTGTGTGTTTGTGATCACAGAGTGCTGATTTCCAGACAGGTTCAACCCGTGCTTATTTACTAACCTGCAGGGACAAAAGGTTTGTCAGCCGGTCAGCTTCTCTATCTAAACCCTAGGCGTGCTGTATCCTGCTCGTCCTTCTGTAATATGTTAAGTCCTGCTTGGTATTGACACAGTGATCTCAATACGTATTTGATGTCTATCACAGGAACTTGTAAATCGCGTGAGGATGTAGGTAAATATAGAAAAAACCCTTTGCAATCTGATTAATAAATTATCTTTTAATGTCAAATAACTTCTTCCAGGATACCATGTAATCAGAATTTAATTTAATAATCTACATGTATTCCATGAACAGTTAAGTTTATCATTAAGTATAAATCCCACATGAGCAGAGACCTGGCCTGCCTTATTCCCACTGTACCCCCAAAGCCTGGGATGTGCCTGGGCACATAGGCGGTATTCAGTACTTCATTCTTTAATGAGTAAATCTCCATTTACAGTGAAGACTGGAAGAATTAAAATAGTTGTATTTATACCTAGATAATGGCATGCTTTTGATGATTTCAGATTCCTTCAGTGCAGTCAGTTAGGTGCTGGGGATACAGAGATATGAAGATCTGGCTCAGGTCCCCAGTCATTTTATTGACTCAACAAATATTTATTGGTTCCAGTTACTTTGTGCCAAGGTGCTGTGCTAGGGGTTTGGGAATACAGGAGTGAGTAGTCATGACCTCTGCCCTCCTGTTGCATTTAGTTTAGAAAGAAAGGAATGGGAGGAGGGTAGGCGAGCTGGAAACTTGGATGCAAGCACTGGAAACCAGTTTGCTGGATTTGTTCAGCTGGAAAAATGTTTTTGTCTTTTTCTTTTTTCCATTCTCACTCCCTACAGTGTCACAGTGATGATTACTAACCTGGTCCCTGTAAGGATTTGAGTTGTTTTGCCTTTTGCCCTAGCATAAAATAGGAAGACTGCCATGCAGATAATGAGATTGTAATGTGAAAATTGCCTCAAGAGCCTCATGTATCTGTTGCCGGGAGACTTCAGGAAAACCCGCTCCTTAGTTGAGGGAAGGAAGAGTAGCACCCTGGTGTGGTGGGGAGACCGGGTAGAGGAGTGCAGATCCGGTTCAGGTGTGTGCCCTTGGCCCTGTGACTGAACTTCTTTGGGCCCCCTGCTGTTGATCTGTAAGTGAGGGGGTGGTGTCCCATCTGTGCCCCAGAGAGCCTTCTCAGAGCCGCCTCCCCCTCCCTCCGGACCCCCAGGAGCAGCCCTACTTCTGCTGTTCTGCCTATTGGGCTTCTCTGAAACATTTTGTTTGAGCATGTTTTCTTTGGCTAAAAAGAGTTTTAAAATCTCTGGACTAGATGATCTCCAAAATTCCTGCATGCCTGGCATCCAGTGATGATTACTTCTGACATTCCACGTTCACTGCTCCTGTGCTCCTAGGAAGAAAAAAAGGCAGCAGCCGCTTCTTGTCAGGTGCAAATACCCTTTGTTCTAACAAAAGGTCATTTGAGTGAGATGAAGGTCACGGAGAAGTTCAGTGATGATTTGGGTTAGAACCGTGAGAGTTTTTAGTTTTTTAGTATACTCTTTTTTAGTATACTACTCTTTTTCCACAGTGGTCTTCTATGGCAGAGTCTTAATTGCTCCCTTAAAACTCCTTTTCTTGTACTTTCTGAAGGATTGAGAGTCACACACTTTATGTTGTTTTGACATCTGGGTTTCTTTACGTTTTCTCCAAGCTATCCTCATTATCTACAATATTTATGGAAAAATATACTGGAATCGTTTGAGAGCATCTCTCCTTGCATATTGCTTGCTCTATCTTTTCTCACTTTTCCCTTGTTCATGGGAAAATCCAGTTATTGTGGAAATAATCATGATCTCTGAGCAACAGGAACTATTTTGACATACCTCTCACCAGGAATTAGACCCAAAGGAAGGGAATCAATGTCAGAAAGAAAAAGACAATAGAAGAGTGATTGCCTGAGTGGTTGGTTGGTCAGCAGTCACTGGGTATGACCTTACACATCACTTATGTGCTTGGAGCCTTAGTCTCCTGTACAGTGGAGACCGTAATACCTTCTGTAGGGAGTTGTTTTTGTACTTAAGGATGGAAAGTCCTTTACCTGGTGTTTGGCCTGCAGTAGGCACTTAATAAGTTAGAATCCCTCTCTTCTCCCCCTACTGTTTTTTTAAAAGATTTTATTTATTTGTTTGAGACAGAGAAAGCACGCGAGTGAGGCAGCTGGTGGAGGGGGAGAGGGAGAGAGAGAGAATGTCAAGTGGACTCCCTGCGGAGCTCTGAGAGTCTCTGAGAGTCTCATGACCCTGAGATCATGACCTGCACCAAAATCAAGAATTGGATGCTCAGGGGGCACCTGGGTGGCTCAGTCATTAAGCGTCTGCCTTCAGCTCAGGTCATGATCCCAAGGTCCTGGGATTGAGCCCCGCATGGGGCTCCCTGCTCAGCAGGAAGCCTGCTTCTCTTCCCTCTCTCATTGTGTCGCTCTCTGTCAAATAAATAAAATCTTTAAAAAAAGAAAAAGTATTGGACGCTCAACTGACTGAGCCACCCTGACGCCCCTCCCTTTTCTTTTGATGTACCTTTCCTCTTTAGGAATGTTCCTTCCTGCCTGCCTCCCTCCCCTCTTTCCCACACGTTTATTAAACTCCTCCTGACGCCTGCCAGGCATTGCTCATGGATACAACAGTGAGTCAGACAGAGTACCTGTCATCACAGAGCACATGTTTCAGCATCTCCTCACTAGGATGTGGGAATCATCGGGGACTAGCAGACAGAACATAGAAAGTTCTCTTCCAGCGCAATCCTAAAAAGGCAACCCAATTAAAAAATTGCAGAGGATTTGACTATCACTGTCCAAATGTGAATGGTCAATAAACACATGAAAAGAAGCTTTCCATCAGTCATCAGGGAAACAGAAACCAAAAGCACAATGAGAAAAGGCTTCACAGCCAGTAAGATATAGGATAGCTGTAATCTCAAACACCGCCAGTAACAAATTGCTAAGGATTTGGAGAAATCAGAATCCTTACACACTGTTACTGGGGCTGTAAAGTGGTACAGCCAATTTGGAAACCAGTCTGGCATTTCCTTAAAACGCTCAACATGAGTTACCACATGACCCAGCATTCCTCCTGGATATCCAGCCAACAGCAATGAAAACACATGTCCGTAGAAAAGCTTACATACTTGAGTGTTCCCAGCAGCATTGTTCACGATAACCAAAACAACGTCCAGGTGTCCATCAGCCAATGAATGAGCAAAATGTGGGCTGTCCATAAAATGGAATATTATTTGGCAATAAAAAGGAATAGAGCGTGGATATATGCCACAGCATGGATAAGCCTTAAACACACTATGCTGAATAAAAGAAACCAGTTACAAAAGACTGTATGGTGTGATCTCATTTACGTTCAGCGTCCCAAACCAGCAGATCTGTAGAGACCAATTAGTGGTTGCCTGGCGTGGGAGAGCCGGAGATGAGCAATGGTAACTGGTAATACGTATGGGGTTTCTTTTTGGGATGATGAAAATGCTCTAAAATTATTTTATGGTGATAGTTGAACAATTCTGATGTGGTTTTTTTGTTTGTTTGTTTTTAAAGTAAATTCTATGCCCAACACGGGGCTTGAACTCATGACTCCAAGATTAAGAGTCGCATGCTCTGCTGACGGATCCAGCAAGGTGCCTTGTGAACGATTCTAAATATACCAAAGACCACAGGTTATACGTTTTAAATGGCTGAACCTAGTGCGTAGATTATATCCCAGGATGACTGTTAAGTGCAGTTCCCCTTCTGTCTCCTAACTTGATCCATGTCACGGGTGCTCTGGCCTCATCCTAGAATAAAACAGGTCAACCTCCAGACCCCTCCTGGGGCCCCCTTGCCACCGCCATCCACCATCCCCTGGTTTTTTCCTTTCCTTTACAGTTAAGACTCCTAAAAGGTTAGGAAATAAATAACTTAGACTTCATTCCAGAGGAGTTGGAAATTAGTGGATAAGCAGAAAGAGGAAAAATTTTGGACATTTATTTTTTTTTAAGAATTTTTTTATTATTTATTTATTTGACAGAGAGAGATCACAAGTAGACAGAGAGGCAGGCAGAGAGAGAGAGAGAGAGAGAGAGAGAGGGAAGCAGGCTCCCCGCCGAGCAGAGAGCCCGATGCGGGACTCGATCCCAGGACCCTGAGATCATGACCTGAGCAGAAGGCAGCGGCTTAACCCACTGAGCCACCCAGGCGCCCCAATTTTGGACATTTAATCTCACCACCCAGAGATAATCATTATGAACACTTTATGTCATTTTAGCGTTAGCAAAGATGACACCTCGTGTTTTTATTTTCAAAGAGGAATACTGTTATAAGGAAAGGCCTATGTTAAGTTACCAAGAACAGAATCTTTTTTGAAGAGAAATGTCTTAATCTTCTGTAACGATATTAAACATGGAGGGTTTTGTGCATGATTTGATTTTGAAGCTTTTCGGGATTGTCTGCTTCAGATTTGAGGTCATTCAGTCCTAATGCTTTGGAAACATCCCTGCTCCTTAGTGTGTGGATGGAATCCGTGAAGCCCCCCTGCTTTTTAAGCCACACTTGTTACATGGCTTTTGCTTACGCTGCAGCCTGATCGCACAAGAGAATTTCAGTCTTAAACACCTTCGGGTGTGTGAAAGCTCCGCGCCCCAGTGAAATGAAAATTTCATGACTTCCCTTCGGCCTCTGCGGACTGTCTGGCCGACACTGGCTGGGAATGAGGATGGCAGCTGGTGAGATGGATTTCCTGCTTTCGAAATCACATTGAGCTAATTTCATTGATCTTTTCTCCCCCTTTTGCCTGCGCAGAATTAGATTGGCTGAGCAACCCGAGCTTTTGTGTTGGAGCCATACCCTCTCTGAGCCAACAGCCTGAGGAGGCCACTGCCCTGGTTTCTGAAGGGTCATCGCCGACGAGGTAGTTTTTCTGAAAGATGGATTTTTCATTTTTGTCTGCGTGTTGTCTGTCGCTAGGTTCGAAAAACGCTCCTTAGGAAACCCTGTGATAAAAGAGCGAATTACAACTCTTCTTTTTACTCGAACTAATGAGGTGCCCTTTGTTTTCCCTCTCCTCACTCAGATTATTATTCCTCTTTCCCTGCTTTGCCTTTTGTAGTGGCAAGTGTGTGACATGGCGCCAGTAACAAGGCCACAAGGGAAATGGCACCATTGTGACTATTGAGTAATTTGACTGACCTCGCTAGTAACCTTTAGAATATTGTAACTCCAATGTTCCCTCAGTTGCATTTTCACCATTTTGGGAAAAATGGAAGAGACTGGTGTGATACAACATCGGATAAAATCTCATGAAAACTTGGGGACAGCAGAAGGGCACACATCTGCACCAGGCTTTGAAAGAAGTTGTGGTAGAGCATCGAATTGAGAAGTGAGCCCTCTCTCAAATATGGACTAGGTGGTCTCATTAAGATGAGGAGCCCCCAGGGGCACTTGGGTGGGTCAGTAGGTTAAGCCTCTGCCTTCAGCTCAGGTCATGGTCTCATGGTACTGGGATCGAACCCCACATCAAGCTCTCTGCTCAGCAGGGAGCCTGCTTCCCCCACTCTCTCTGCCTGCCTCTCTGCCTACTTGTGATCTCTGTCTGCCAAATAAATAAAATCTTAAAAAAAAAAAAAAAGATAAGGAGCCCCAGGAAGGCAGTCCTTCAAAAGTGCAAGAAACCTTTAGAAATGGACACTAGTTGGTGCCAGAGGGAGAGTTGTCCATAGACATTTCGATAATGTGGAAGGGCTCATCGTAACCTTTAAAAACAAGACCAGAATTAAACCTTTTTTAATTAAAAAAAAATTTTTTTTTTAGGACATGCTGCCCTAATGTTTAGGACTGAAAATAAACCCTTTATAAGATTGCTTCAGAAAATACTGTATTTGATAAAGTAACTGGTAGATTATTTTCATTTAAAAATGTACAGATGTGGGATGCCTGGGTGGCTCAGTCGGTTAAGAGGCTGCCTTTGGCTCAGGTCACGTTCCCAGGATCCTGGAATCGAGTCCTTCATCAGGCTTCTTTCCCAGTGGGGAGCCTGCTTCTCTCTCTGCCTCTGCCTGCCACTCTGCCTGCTTGTGCTCTCTCTCTCTGACAAAAAAATAAATAAAATCTTTTAAAAAAAAATGTACAGGTGTGAAAGTCCAGGTTTAGAAGCTATTAAAATTAGAATTCACCTACTGTTGGTTTAGGGCCAACTCTCCCCCCCCCGGGGTCGGAGTGGGGTCCAACTCTTAAATCCTTAAGGGGAGTCGTGATCTGGGAAGGCACTATATAAGTATGTGGGCTAATGGTAAGCCCCTATGGGCATTTCTGGAGTTCTCTTTTATACATTTGTTTGCTTATTTACATAGTCTTTTCCCTACTTCTCATCTGAAAATAATTCCAATGTTGATTTTCCCAAAACAGGAGTCCCCTGAAATCAGAGCCTTCAGATGAAAGTGATGCTAACAGAAAGCCCAGACAAACGAGCAGGAAAAAGAAGAAAGAGAAGAAGAAGAAGAGGAAGCATCACCACAAGAAAACCAAGAGAAAACGTGGGCAGGCCAGTAGCAGTGGCTCTGAGCCAGATAGTGAGCCTGAAAAGGACAAAACTTCCAGAAGCACTGGAGACAGTAGAAGGGAATCTGAGAAGCCAAGGTGGGTTTTCTGTTCTCAAATACCTGTGACTTTTCAAAGTTTGTATTTTTTCCCTTCAGTTGCCACAAATGAGACATTTGAATGACTATTTAGCCACTCAGTCAAATGGAGTCCAAAACACACCCAAATAGAGCTGTACCATGAGGTCACATTTAAAAAAAAGAAAGAAAGAAAATTTTCATTAAAAAAATCAGGGCTGTGATTTTGAGAAATGTTATTTAGACACAGTAATGATCATGTCAAAATCTGATGCAGACGAAAGGTCTTTGGGATTTTGAAAGATGGCCGATGTGCCATGCCGTGGGAATCTGGGCCAGTTCACTACATAGTTGGGGCTCCGTCTGTGAGGGTTAGAGTAAGAGGAACGTCTTATTTCTCTTCCGTAGTCTCTCTCTTCCTTCTGATCACTCGCATCAGCCACGCGAGACCCACACTCTTTGGTCGGGGGCTGTGTAACAGGATCATCGTTGCTCTTGTCCTTTTCCCAGGTCACATTACTTTCTAGCACTATGTGGAAAGTGTGGACTGGCCCATGACCACAGTGTTTCCTCTCCTGGGGGCTTTGCTTCTCCCCACATTTTGCTCCGTCTCCCTTGAGCCTGTTGCTCCCCACGTGCTGCAGTGAGGGCTGCACAGGCGCTCAGCGGTAGCTCCCCTCTTCTCCCCTCTACCTCTCCCTCTGCTCCCCCATGGGGGGCCCTTCTCCCATGCCCACGACAGGCTGCATGGGGTGGAATTGAGTTATTTCTTCACTTTTTTCTTTTCTTTGTTTGTATGGGCTAGAGGAGAGAAGATTGAAGTCCCTGTCTAAGGCATACTTAAAATATTTAGTGCTATTAAAACTTTTTGGACTCTTCAGGGATTATTTGCTTAGATGTCCCAGCGACGTCAGTGAGAGCTCTGTGGTGCTGTGAGTCTGGAATCTGACCCGTAGGGTCTGCATCAGACAGGTGGATGCTGAGTCCTCCTGTGGATCCTTCTGCCACCAGACCTGTGGAGAGCCTCGCAGGCCACTATGGCTCAGGGCGTCCGGATTCAGCCATCTCTACGCCTCCAGGCTCTGTTTGTAACCCAGGCTTGCTCTAGGAGGGGAGAATAAGAAGGTTCTGACTTTGAGTTTCTGTGGGCAGGAATCACTCCCGTCTGGCTTGCCCCTGTACCCTCTCAGCAGCTGGCCTGGGAAAAAGTACATTTCTGTTGTGTGAATGAATGGATACATTATTGATGCTTTTGCTTCTCAGTATGTCTTCAGAGCAACATATATTAATCATTGTTTCTTCTGAAAACTCAGTATTAGCTACTTGTCTTTTTTTTTTTTTTTTAAAGAGTTGAGGAAAATGAGTTTTAAAGGATTTTCTGAACCCACACAGGAACTGCCATTAGAACCTGGAAGGTAATTAATTCCAGCCTGTGTGTAATCAATCAGGGGTGAGCTTTAGAGCCTCTTGATGGGTCTGTGATCCAGATGGCATTTTTAAGTTCATTGATATTTTTCAGAATACCCCCATTAAGATCAAAATCGACTGTTCTTATCTTCTCGCTTACTTTCTTACTGTGGACTTCTATAGTCTCTTCCTGGGAAGATGACCTGGAGACAAGGACTAAGACGTTTGTGAGTTGTGAGAGTATTTCCATGATGTCAGGAAAGTGGGTTCCTGGGGGTATCGGGCACCATATAGGAGCTCTGTTTTAGGGTGGGGGCAGGACGACATCTCCTGGGGCTTCTCAGGGACCTCTATCTCCTAAAGTGAGCTCTTCAGCTCCAGGTGGGGGCATATTCTTCTAGGGCACAGCCCAGACCACAGCCTGCTTCCTACCTCAGTACCCAATAGGAGAGGATCAGAGCTCGTTTACCCCCCCAGGGGTGGTCTGCTCCCTCCTCCCTCCCCCGTAGGCTTTCCATTTCTTTCTGGAATGCATCCATCTCATTCCTTCCCTTGGCTGCCCCTTGCAGAGTTTGTGGACAGAAAACCCTCCACAGGTGTTCTGAGGGGGAACGTGTTAAAAATCACCATGTATTTTAACCTATTCAGCAAATGCCCACTGCAAGCTACTTTGTGTCCCCAAAATGCCATTCCTCTGTATTCCCAGCCCAGGATGACTTAGAAGCTTTCAGAATCTTTATTTCTATCTGGGCAGAGTCAAAAAGCTACGATGGAACAAGGTTAAGGGCTGTTTTGACTACTTTGGCAGCTTCTTGTGTCAGCAGCATGACGTGCTGCTTCTCTTCAGAGGAGGGAAGATACTAGATGCCAGAACAGCTTTCCCTCCCTCTTGCGTTTGACTCCTAGGGAAGCTGTTTCATTTGTGTCTCAGCTGGAAGTCTGCCGACTCTCAGGTTGGCTCAGAGGAATAAGGAAGGGTCTTGGCTCACAGTGGGCTCTCTCTGGCCTTAGTGTAGGACGGGGGCAGCCCACAGAGCTTGGGCTATAAAAACGACATTGAGGGGCGCCTGGGAGGCTCAGTGGGTTAAGCGTCTGCCTTCGGCTCAGGTCATGGTCCCAGGGTCCTGGGATTGAGCCCCACATTGGGCTCTCTGCTCAGTGGGGAGCGGGAGCCTGCTCCCCCCCCACCCCGACCTCTGTCTGCCTCTCTGCCTACTTGTGATCTCTGTCTGTCAAATAAATAAATAAAATCTTGGGGCGCCTGGGTGGCTCAGTGGGTTAAAGCCTCTGCCTTCGGCTCAGGTCACGATCCCAGGGATCGAGCAAAGCATGGGGCTCTCTGCTCAGCAGGGAGCCTGCTTCCTCCTCTCTGTCTGCCTGCCTCTCTGCCTGCTTGTGATCTCTGTCTGTCAAATAAATAAATAAAATCTTGGGGTGCCTGTGTGGCTCAGTGGGTTAGGGCCTCTGCCTTCGGGCTCGGGTCATGATCCCAGGGTCCTGGGATCGAGCCCCATATCGGGCTCTCTGTTCCGCAGGGAGCCTGCTTCCTCCTCTCTCTCTCTCTCTGCCTACTTGTGATCTCTGTCAAATAAAAAAAAAAAAAAAAAATCTTTAAAATAAATTAAAAAAAAAATCTTAAAAAAAAATGAGATTTAGTCAGGCCTGAATAATATGTGAGACTGACCCATTCGGAACTGTGGCTTTGTTGTCATTCGGGTTTGAGTTGGAAGAAGCTGAGCACTTTCAAATGAGTTAGGGTAAGCAAGGGCAACCCACTATATTTATTTATTTTTAAGAGAACTTGTTTATAAATATATTTAAAATTCTAGTTACAGTCATTTAATGGAATATTTAGAAAGAACATCTAGGGGTGCCTGGGTGGCCCAGTGGGTTGAAGCCTCTGTCTTTGGCTCAGGCCATGATCCCAGGGTCCTGGGATGGAGCAAAGCATCGGGCTCTCTGCTCAGCAGGGAGCCTGCTTCCCTTCCTCTCTACCTGCCTCTCTGCCTGCTTGTGATCTCTTTCTGTCAAATAAATAAATAAAATCTTTAAAAATAAATAAATAAAAAGAACTTCTAGGGGCGCTTGGGTGACTCAGTCAGTTAAGCATCTGACTCTTGATTTTGGCTCAGGTTGTGCTCTCAGGGCCTTTGGGATCGAACTCTGGGCTCCATGCTCTGTGGGGAGTCAAAGTTTCCTCTCCCTCTCCCTTCTCGCCCTCCCTGCGTGCTGCATCTCTCTCCCTGTCTCCAACGTAAATAAATAAATCTTTAAAAAAATAAAAACTCTTGTGTCAGGTTAATTTCTGAGATAAGGTGACTTCTTGGTGAAGTGCCACTTAGCGTTGACAGTTCTTGCTTGCTATCTTAAAGCTTTTTCCACAGCAGGCGTCCTCTTCGTCTGTGGCACGTGCGCGCGTTACATACTTGAGTGTCTTTGATGCTATGTGCGCATCAGTGTGGAAATGTTTGACTTTCATTTTTCTGAAAAGGTGGACGATGTAGCTAGAAGGTTCCAAAATGCTTCTCCCTCTTTGTTCCTCACTCTTGTGTCCCACAGGCAAGAAGGTCATGCTGCTGATGATGTTGGGCGTCGCTTTGTTTGGCTTGAGGACGTGCAGGCTCTAACAGGAGAAACCTTCAGAACAGACAAGAAACCGGATCCGGCCAACTGGGAGTATAAGTCCCTCTACCGAGGAGACATAGCAAGGTACGCGTCACCATGTCTTTCCTGATTTTCACTGGTGGGAAGTGACTTGTTTCTCCCTCGAGCCCTCTGTGTGCAGTCTCTGTCTGCCCCCCTCCCTTCTGGATTCCGGGGGGTGGGTGTCCCCCATCGCTGGGCTGTTAGGGCATGTGTCTTATCTCACACCCTGAAGTGAAAGCTCAAACCTTGTAGTCAGGATCCAGGTCTGAGTCACTTATCCGTGGTGCCTGGCCTTGTGCCGGGCGTAGTAGGTTTTTAGTAAATTGTTGAATGAGGGAATCTAAAAATACCTTGAAATAAATAATTGTGACAAACTATCTGGAAATCATTTGGTCTGATCTGTATGCAATTTTAAAAAGTCACGAGCACTTTTTATTCATCCATCCCCCAAGTAAGCCATTTTAAAAGTGACATTAAGTGGTAATGACTTTTTCAAAATGCTCCCAGTATATGTCACCAGAGAAAAAAAGAGGCGATGGTATTCACTTCAGTAATTAGTTTATTAAACTTTTCTCCTCCACCCTGTCAATCAAAAATATTTAAGTACTTATTGGGGCACCTGGGTGGCTCAGTCGGTTAAGCCTCTGCCTTCAGCTCAGGTCATGATCTCAGGGTCCTGGGATCAAGCCCTGCATCAGGCTTTCTGCTCAGCAGGGGCCTGCTTCCCCCTCCCCCTCTGCCTGCCTCTCTGCCTACTTGTGATCTCTCTCTGTGTCAAATAAATAAATAAAATATTTTTAAAAATATTAAGTACTTATTAAATCCCTTAGGCACTGAGTAGTTTATAAGACACTGCTGGGAACACAAAGCAGTCATACACAATCTCTCTTCCCAGACAGCTTACAGGTAATGAAAATTGAAGGTAGAGAATATTGGAATGTAAAGCCAAGAGGAGGCCAATATCATTCTTTATAGGCTAATTACTTTTTAAAATAAATTTCGGTTTCCATTACATAGCTGCACCTCCAAATTTTGTCATTAGTCACAACATTATACCTTACCACACAGGCAATTCCTACTAAGATTTCCTTTATGATATGTTTATATCTGTGATTTCTATGTGGATATTTGTATCTACATGCTGTCTCCTAAAACCTTATGGCTGAGTGAATGACTATTAAAATGTTTTCGTACATTTTTGAATAATTTTGATACTCCTTGAAGTCTTGTTCGGTTCCCCATGGCCCCGTGATGTGGGGCCACAGACGTGGTAGGACCCAGGAAAAGGGGAGGCGAGCAAATGCTGACTGTGAGCCTGTGCTTGTTAGCCTGTGTGATCCTCACAGCTGCTCTGCGAGGAGGGCCACACTCGTATTTTAGGAACGAGGAAAGGGAACCTCAGAGAGGGTCAGTGGCCTCTCAGGATCACGCTGCCAGGAAGCAGCTTTCTTGGGGAATCTGTGTTCCTCTAACCTCGAATGTTCTTTTCCGGGCCACAAATGAAGATGAGCTGGGTTGTGTGGTAGGCTGCTTTCTAGATTGGAAAACGGAGAACTCTTGGTTTTCATTCTCACTTGGCCACTGACTCATAATGTAATCCCACTTGAGTCTCTAATCCTGTCTGAGCCTCTCTTTCCTCATTTATTAACTCCTGCTGTGCCTCACACTCGGATATCAGACATCATCTATAGGATTGAAAAATTAGTTTGCAAAGATAAAGGGTTATTACTTCTTAATAGATGAAAAAGCAGAAATTTTCACCATGACCAGCTCTTAAATCTCTGCAAATGAGAGGCCCAGGCCTTAGTAGGAGACTAACGAGGGAAGTTTACTAATGTAAATTGTAAGGATGCTGCTGGAAAGGCATGGGGCGTTGGTGTGATTTCCCAGTAGATTCCGAAGCTTAGCTGAGCTAAGTCTTACCCGGATTAATAGCTGTACCACTGTTAGTGTCCAGATCTAGGGCAGTATTGGTCCCGTGGCACTGTGAGTTGGTCAGAGGACCGGGGACATGTTTTGTCAGGTCGAGAATTTTCACACTTCACGCGGGGCACTGACAAACCAGGAGAGTTGGGAGGACTCGCCTGGCACCGTCCTGTGAGGACCAGATGAGGCCTTGTGGGTCCTGGGCCTGTGACCGCAATATGGTCCATGTCTTTTAAGCTTTGCTGGACCACCTTCTAGAAGGTGGATTGGCAGTGTTCATTGTAACTCGGGAAGGCGGAACCAGGATCAATGAGTGGAAGCTCTAGAAAGTGAGATCTGACTCAGTATCAAAGCAAATTTTCTAGTAGTGTGAGCCTACCAGCAGTGACCTGGTATGCGTTTGTGTATTGTGGTGAGCAGGGCTTAGAGTTCATGGGATTCCAAATTACCTTTGGAAAATTCCTTAGGGCTAATATACTAACTCTCAGAGAACGTCAGCTCTGCTTTTTCTCCATGTATGGAGTGGACCGTTGTTGAGCTCTACACCAGGTGAAATAGTGGGCATGTGTTTAGGAGCCAAGTTTTATGAAATAATAACTTGTCTAGTGCTTACCGTATGGCTAAGGACTTGAAATATATAAACTTTTTGATCATCCCTGGTGTTCTGTGATATGGGTAACATTATTATCCCCATGTCACAGATGAGGAAACTGAGGCACAGACAGGTTTTGGGGGGGTTTTGGTTTAAATAATTTGGTCAGAGTCAACTGGTTAGTAAATGATGGGGTTGGAATAGGGACTCGGGTAGACGACCACCATGAGAGCATGTGTGGATTAAAGTCACTGAAGGAGAGGCACATTTATCACTGCCCAGCTCACTCTGGGGCTCAGAGCTGCCGCGCGGATTCTGGGCAGAAGTGTGCTCGATTTAAATACGTTCGTTTCCCATGCCCTGCCCATCTTTCTTTCTTTTCTTTCCTCTCTTCCCATCCCTTCCCTTTTCCTGTAGCTGAATTAATTTAAAGTAAATATCAGTATGATATCATTCGCTGAACCTCCAAAGTGGGGTTCCCTCCTTCTGGAATTGTTCCATGTAAGTCCAGCTGACCATTTGATAAGGATTTTACCAAAAACAAAACAAAACAAAACAAAAAAAAACCCCAAATGAAGCCTAGGTTCTTCCCAGTTAAGATTCTATGATAAACGATAAATTAGATAAAACCCAGATGTCCAACAGCAGAGAGATGTTTCTAGATGAGGGCTTACCCCTCCACCGGACCAATTCAAAGCCAATAAAAACGGTATTTTCTAAAGCAAATGGTTCAGGGAAATGCACAAAAGTAGGGAGGAAAGCCCGAAGCTGTGTATCAGCTATTTTTTTTAAAAAGGTATATGTACACATACAAACACATAAACGCATATCTGAAAGTAGGCGTTTAATAATACGGTTCAGTAAGACTCTTTTTTCCCTTTATCATTTTTATCTGTTATAAAATGCAACTATTAAAATCAGTTTTACAAAATGCACTTTTTTTAGAAAAAGATTTTATTTATTCATTTGACAGAGATCACAAGTAGGCAGAGAGGCAGGCAGAGAGAGAGGGGGAAGCAGGCTCCCCGCTGAGCAGAGAGCTCAATGCAGGGCTCCATCCCAGGACCCTGGGATCATGACCTGAGCCGAAGGCAGAGGCTTTAACGCACTGAGCCACCCAGGTGCCCCCAAAATGCACTTTTAAAGTCAGAAAACTCTGTAAACATTTTTGAAGAGATATTGTGAATGTTGAAATACTGTTGATTTTTAGTAAAAATAAAATAGTACTTACGGGGAGAACTAGTTCTACTTAGAGTTTGCTCCTTACAGAATGATGGACGTGTTTAGAGCTCCTGAAGCACTATTTTATCTCCTCCCCTCTCGTTAAAGTTGTTTTGACTCTAAATGGACTGGGGACAGTTGTTTTGAGTTAACCTAGGAGGGCCTGGGGGAGAGGATGGAGAGGAAGGGTTTGTGTGCATGTGAAAGCTGGGAAGGCAACTTCTCAGGCCGCTGTTGACTGTGGGGAAGCAAAGGAGGTGCTGGGCCTAGACCGGGGGAGGTGGACGCAGAACTTTCTGAAGATGACAAAAGATGGCGACTGCTCTCTCCTTTTTTTCCCCTGACAGCATGATACTGTGGAAATTTTTTAAAAATACAGTGTCAGTTTAAAGAATTTTGCAGTGAATGCTCCTAATCCCACCCTCTACATTCTACCATGAGTAGTTCACTGAGCCTGGCTTGTCACATGTCCGTCTGTTCATCTGCCCTTCAGTCCAGCCTGTTTGGTGCCAGCCTCGGTGTACCGCTCCCTGAATATTTCAGCATGCGCGTCATTAACTGCAGTTCAGGTTCGTTTAGCTTTTTCCTTTGGACTTAAAATTTACATACAGTGTAACACAGATCTTCATTTGTTGGTTTAGACACGTGCACACACCTGTGTAAGCCAGCCCTCAGTGAACATCACCGTGACCCCCACTCCCCCCAGATTTCCTCCTGCTCTCTTCCACTCAGTCCACACCCCACCTCCCCAGGGACAGTTACCGTTCTAATTTTTTCCATACATCAATACTGTCTCTTCTAGAATTCCACGTAACTGGAGTCCTATAGTACGCACGCTTTGGGTCTGGCTTCTTTCGCTCAGTGTGACGTTTTTGACATCCAGCCCCATTGGGTCATTTGTCAGTAGTGGCTTCTCACTGCTGGTGGTGCTCTGTCCTGTGGCCACACCACTGCTCATTCGTCTGTTCTCCTGCTGATGAATGCCCGGACCCTTTGCAGCACTCGGCTGTTAGGAACACGGCTGCTGAGAGTGTCCGTGCACACATCTGTGTGTAGAAATGCAGTTTCCTTTTTTCCTGGGGGAATGCCTAAAATAGAATTGCTGGGCCCCAGGGTAGGTCTAAGTTTAGTTTTTTCAGGAAACTGCCAGACCTTTCCCCAAAGTGACTGTACCAGTTTCCATTCTCACTAAGAGCATGTGAGAGACCCGGTTCCCCGGCAGATTACTCGCTGGTGGTCATTATTGTCGGTGTTTAATTTTAGTGGTTCTGGCGGGTTTGTGGCATAGCTCCTTGTGGTTTTAATTTGCATTTCCTCACGATTCATGACGTTGAGCAGTTACGCATGCGCTCATTGGCCCTTCATGTTGTCTTTGGTGAATTCCGTTCACATCCTTTGCTGTTCTTTGTTGGTTTGTGTAACACACGGAAGAATGCATGGTTTCCCACAGCCTTCCTGCACATATTCCGTAGTCATGGGTGTGATTACGGGGCCACCTGTACGCTCTATATAGGGCTTTTAGAGCCCAGCCTCTCTTCCTCTAGAGTAGAAGACAGCCAAGTGTAATCTTAATTATTTTGTTTCAGGCTTAAAAATACAATCTTAGCCCTCCCTGTTTTCTTCTTACGTGGGAACACAGGACTATACAGGAAAAAGGACCAGTGTAGGAGACAGGTGACTCACTGTCACCCAAGGTTCTGGTGTCCTTAAGGATAGCGTAAAGGAGGGGATGAGGATTTCCACCTTGTCTGTTAATATGATTGTGATGATCCGTGACATAATGTATGGGACAGACTTTACAAAACTCTAGGAAAATAGAAACTACTAGAAATTACTAGAGTCTGGAAGACAGGCCTGATCTGAAATTCATGTGATGTTAATAAGGATTTGAAGTATTTAGAGGAATAAGTTGAACACAGAAAAAGTTGATTGCTAATTGTCGTATATCTCTGAATAGAAACTGTCGGAAGGTAAGGTGAATTTGAAAACGTGCAGTTAAGTTGCCTCATGAGAGCTCAGGTCCGCTGAGCTGAGCCTCGATGGCAGTGCACCTCTTGCCTCAGTAACTTTCTTTCTTTTTCAAATACAAGATACAAGAGGAAAGGAGACTCCTGCCTTGGCATTAACCCTAAGAAGCAGTGTATATCCTGGGAGGGGGCTTCCACAGAAAAGAAGCATTCGCACAAGCATGTTGAGCGCTATTTTACGAAGAAGAGCGTGGGACTGATGAACATTGATGGAGTTGCCATTGGCAGCAAAACCGAACCTCCGTCATCTGAGCCGCTCTCCTTTATCCCCGTGAAGGGCCCAGATGATGCGCTTCCTCCCCTTACGACCTGGTTGAACCCTCTGGGCATTTACGATCAGTCCACCACTCAGTGGTTACAAGGACAGGGTCCTTCAGAGCAAGAATCAAAGCAGCCAGACTCACAGACGGACAGAGAGAGCGCACTGCTCAAGGCCAAGGTGGAGGAGTTCAACCGGAGAGTGCGCGAGAGTCCTCGCGACGTGCAGCTGTGGATGGCCTTTGTTGCTTTTCAGGTAAGTAACGCCGTCCCGCTTCTCTTACTCGGAATGACTGTGCTAGTTTGGGGCAAACCCATGCACTCTCCTGCCGTTCTGGAGCCCCTGGGAGGTGCCCTGGCCCTGGGCATTTGGAGATTATGACATGTAGCCCTTGCCCTGAGCTTGCTCCAAGCCCCCGAGGAAGCCTGATGTATGAAGGGCAAGTGCTTTCATGTGTAATTTGGGGCTGGCATGTGGGGGTGACCTGCCTTGAGGGAGCACGAAAGGGCGGCTAAAAGAAGGTGAAATTTAAACAGGATCTGGGAAGAAGCGCCCTTGTTCACCGGGGTGCGGGGTGCAGGATGTGCAGACCTGGGAGAGAGAAGGCGCTGCTTCTCCAGTGACCCGACAGGGGCTCTAGGCTCTCTTTCTGAAGCACGCGGCTTTGTCTTCGTCCTACTTACTTGCCTTTGAACCGTGTATACGGTTGTGTCTCGCCCCACATTCGGCTGTGTCACGGGTGAAGTTGGCTCTTGGGAAGCTGCATGCTCGCTCTTGTTACGTGACCGCCCACCCCCCCGCCGCCCCCCCGCCCCGTGACGGAGCAGTTGGGTGAGGTAAACACACCGTCAAATGTAGAGGTGACAGAGGCGCCCCAGGAACAGAGTTTCTGCTCAGAAAAAATCGTGGCTAGCCCGTGGTGACGTCCAAAGGACGATTGGTCTGCGAGGCAATAGAGCGGGGCTTGCGGGGAGCTCAGTGGCTGTTGTGGGACTTTGAGGCTCCCCTACTTCCATTAGTAAAATGATGTTTCTGTCTCAAGGATGAGGTCATGAAAAGCCCCGGCCTGTACGCCCTCGAGGAGGGAGAGCCGGAGAAGCGGAAGAGGTCTCGGAAGCTGGTGCTGGACAGGAAGCTGGCCATCCTGGAGCGGGCCATCGAGAGCAACCAGAGCTCCGTGGAGCTGCAGCTGGCCAAGCTGGAGCTGTGTGCCGAGTTCTGGGAGCCCTCCGCGCTGCTCAGGGAGTGGCAGAAGCTGATATTCGTGCACCCCAACAAGACGGCCCTGTGGCAGAAGTACCTTTTATTTTGCCAAAGCCAGTTCAGCACCTTCACCGTCGCCAAGATCCACGGTCTCTATGGCAAGTGCTTGAGCACGCTGTCCGCGGTGCTGGACGGCAGCATCCTGTCGCACCCTGCGCTGCCCGGCACGGAGGAGGCGGTGTTCGGTAAGAGCTGAGCGCCAGAGCCATGGGGGTCGGGCACTTACACTGGCTTCTGGCTGTAGTCAAAAATGAAGATGTGTTTTTGGTTTATTTTAGAAATGACAGAATTGATACAATGGATTTAAACAGAAAGTATTAGGACTGCTTTGGACTAGAACAGATTTTCCCTTCTCTACCTTCTTGGTGGGGGTGAGGAGTGGGCATTAGAGCCCGTCAGGTTGGTAGAGGAACCGTGGACTAGAAGGTCCAGCTTTCCTGCTTTTGGCCAAGGACACGTGGTCAAGTCTCGACTGTCGTGGCTGTCCGTGGGGTTCCCTGTTGAGATGTCTGTCTGCTCATCTCACACCTTCTGGGGCCTCGCAGTCAGTCGAGCACAGATCTTTACTTTCTGATGAAAATCTACACCATCCCTTTTCCTAGAATTTTTCTTGTAATAATGAGCTTTGAGTATTTGATAACTGTCCAGAACAACTTCCTGCCTTACTTTTATGCAGCATATATCGTTTTTGTTAATATTTATATTCCCCAATGGCTTCATATAAAAATGGGACTAAATGTGCTTTGATTATAGTTCTGTGGCGAGTCCTTTTAACAAGGACATGTATTATTACAGCTTTGAAACGATCCCAATAACTACTTTCGGAGAAAAGATGTTCTCGGTGTTGAAATGCGCGTTTTTAGAAGTTGTGTTCTTTCCCTTGAAAGGTGTTAACCAGGACCCCTCCTTGCTGTCCCCGCTTTCAGCTCTCTATCTTCAGCACTGCCACTTCTTGCGGCAGGCCGGCCACTCGGAGAAGGCCGTCGCTCTGTTCCAGGCCATGGTGGACTTCACCTTCTTCAAACCTGACAGCGTGAAAGACCTGCCTACCAAAGGACAGGTGCGGGTCCTTGTGAGACTGGCCTCTCCCCCTCCCTCTCCCCCACTCCCTTCCTCCCTCCCCCTCTCTTTCTCCCTCTCTCTCTTCCGGGGGGGGGAAAGTGTGGATGATGGGAACTGGTGGTAGTATTTTTGAAATCCTGTCCTCCTTTGTGTCAGCCCTGCTGAGAACTGTTGCTCAGAATATGCTGGTGATCCAAGGAAAATTCCATAACGAAGGTAGTGAAACTTGGAGAGATGAAAGATCCACTTCCCCCATTATAAACTCAACTATGTCCCCCCCCCTTTTTTTTTCTTATGGGCCTCGTTTCAGTGCTAATTAACCCCCGTCAGGGAGAGAAACCATGGTCATGCTTCTTAGAGCATGATGTCTCACTGTCTCCTCCCTCTGTGCATTCCAAGCCCGGTCTTAGGTCATTTTCCTAGTTAGCATTTCCACTATGTAAGATCTTTGCAGGAATTGCAAACGATAGTGAGATAGTGCGTGTTGACACTTTGCCAGCGCTGATCCTTACTGGGGAGGTGTTGTCATTTAGATGACAAGTGAACAGTGCCCATATTTGTGATGTAGAAGCAATAAAAAAAAAATCTCATCATAAAGCTACCCATATAAGAAAGCCGCCTTCTTGCTTTTTTCTTGAAAGAAATCTCCATTTCCTACTTTGCATAGGGGGTCTGGTGGAAGATGGATAGGATATCTGAATTTAGAGTGAATTTACAGAGGCCTCGGGAGGCTAAGATCTCCATCTTGTGGAATATTCCTGAATTGCCCTTAGAGACTATTTTTATCATCATTTTTATCTATTTTTTTCCTAGATGAAATTGGGTTAAAGAATATTGGTTAATATTAGTATACCTGATTAGTCGTATAATGAGCCAGTTAACAAAATTATTTTAAGACACTGTGTGCTGTTTTAAGACTATGCCATGCTATGGAAATGAACCTTGGCGGACCGCGGGGGCCCTGGGTGTGTGGTTGCCGGGTCAGGATCAGAATGGCCCTCATCCCAGCCCTTTGCTGACGTTCACAGACTGTGAGGAGAACAGTTCCTCTCGGGGAGGGCGGAGCCGGGACTGTGAAGCAGGGAGCCACGCCCCTCGAGTGTCCGCAGAGCCTGCTGCATGCTCTTAAGGCTTTTCGTACTGACAGCACCTAGAGTTCCAAAGCATTTACCAGACAACTTTGAAATAAAACTTTATCTTTGAGGACATTCCATATCTTTAAAAAGAGAGACATTGTTAAAAGACACAGTAGTATAGCATGAAAGGAGCAGAGTCTGGTCTGTGTTTCTTTTTTTCTTTTTCTTTTTCTTTCTTTCTTTTTTTTTTTTTTTTTTTGAGATTTGACAGAGTGCATGAGAAGGGAGATCTGCAGTCAGAGGCAGAGGGAGAAGCAGGTTCCCCACAGAGCAGGGAGCCCAACGTGGGGCTCAATCCCAGGACCTTGGGATCATGACCTGAGCCAAAGGCAGACGCTTAACGACTGAGCCACCCAGGTGCCCCCCCGGTCTGTGTTTCTATGGAAAAAGTAAATTGATTGTAACTTTTACACTTAAAAAAACCCCACCCTTCTTTTTCTGGAGCGTGCTTTCTTCTGTCCCTCTTGTAAGAGCAAGACTGCGAAGAGGGAGTGTGGTCTTTCTAGCTCCTCTTCCTGAGGTGGCTGCCGGGCACTTGGTATGGGGTCCGTGCCCGGCCCATTGCCCAGCCCTGCTCTTCTGGAGCTGTCCTGGACACAGCCCTCTTGCAGGCATGCATGGCACTGCCCCAGGCTCAGGCTGGACCGTCCTGCGGCTCCTGGCCCACAGCATGCCCCTGGAAGCCTCGTCCTCTTCTAAATGTTTCTTATAGAAGCTTTCCTTAAGCAAGTGGTTAGCTCATTTTTAAAGTCCTTTTTGTTGAGGTGCCTGGCTGGGTAGCTCATTTGCTTAAGTTCCTGCCTTCAGCTCAGGTCATGATCTCAGGGTCCTGGGATCGAGCCCCATGTCAGGCTCCTTGCTCAGCAGGGAGCCTGCTTCTCCCTCTCCTTCTGCTTCCCTGCTTGTGTGTTTGCTCGCTCTCTCTCTCTCTCAAATAAATATAATATTTAAAAAAAAAGAACTTAAACAGCTAAAAAAAATAAAGTCCTTATCAGTTGATTACACAATTGCTTTCCTGCTCATTGCTGGGTTCACAGTCCGGTTGGTCGGGAATTACTGCACTGAGCCGGTCACCGCACACAGCAGACCTGATGCCCAAATGCAGGAGAGCAGACGTGTGATCACGGGTCTGGCTTTAACACGCAGACCTTTTTATTCACTGGGTGCCTGCCACACACAGCGCTTGGGCCCACAAGTGTTTACTGAGCCCCCACTAGGTACTGGGCACTGTGCCAGGTTTTAGGAACACAGAGTTGAGCTGTCACGCCCTCAACAGCCCCGGCCTGTCCTGTGGACACTTTGAATCCCCTTCTCCTTGGAAGGTCTTGGAAGCAACGTGATTTCAGGCATTCAGGGATCCAGTGGCTTTAGGGCAACGGGCTGTTTTCCTGTCCCCAGTGAGACTGGCCTCCCGGGGTCAGAGCTGGGAAACCATTCCTCTCCTACCCGCTGGAGGCCCTTTTCGTAGACCATGGCCGGTCTTTTTGTAACAGACTCTCAGAAGTGGTGGCCCGTCACTCTGCTGTGTCTGATTGCTACAGGTCACAAGGCCCAGCCCACACTCAGGGGTAGGGTCACAGGGGGCTGTCTTGGAGGCTGCCTACCATCCTAGCTCCTTTTTTTTCCTGTTTTGGGGTGTATCCTAAATCTACTGGAAACAGGGCAAGCAAGGTTTCAGCCACGAGCCCCTCTTGTGCTGATGAGAACACACTTGGCTCAGTGGCGCAGCGGTTTTGTCCAAGCTGGGCTCACCTCCGTATTTTAAACCCGAACAGGTGGAGTTCTTTGAGCCCTTCTGGGACAGCGGGGAGCCCCGGGCTGGGGAGAAGGGCGCCCGAGGCTGGAGAGCGTGGATGCAGCAGCAGGAGCGAGGCGGCTGGGTGGTCATCAGTCCAGGTGAGGCCCCTCTCGGCTTGGATGCGCACGCCTCTGCCTTTGTCTTCTGGAATGTGTTTTCACATCTTCTTGATTATTTGTTTATATGTATAAGCTCTTCTGTCAGTCCTTAAGAACGTTGTAGAAACATCAAAATATCAAAAATACACTAAGTGGAAGCGTTGGGAGAATATAGACCATCTGTCATCCTTACGGTCTTTCAGTCAATGCCCCGTCCTGTGGAGGGTTTGAGTTTCCTTCCAGAGGAAGGGAGTTTCATTTTTTTTTCAAAAAGTTGTTCCTCGGGGCGCCTGGGTGGCTCGGTGGGTTAACCCTCTGCCTTCGGCTCAGGTCGTGATCTTAGGGTCCTGGGATCGAGCCCCGCATCCGGCTCTCTGCTCAGCAGGGGAGCCTGCTTCCTCCTCTCTCTCTGCCTGCCTCTCTGCCTACTTGTGATCTCTCTCTGTCAAATAAATAAATAAATAAATAAAATTAAAAAAAAAAAAAAAAAGTTGTTCCTCAAGAAGTAATCTTGTTATGAATCCCCCTCACCCCACCCCCATTTAGTGTGTTCTAAGGACAGTCTTTCTGTTTTCTTGGCAGTGTACAGACCATCAGGTCCTTTGAAGCACCCTTCCCTACTTAGGAATACTATAAAATAATTGTTAACTAGCTTTTATGTGACTGTCATCCTAAATGACCCCAAACTACTTTCTGGATTTATACCTTAGGACAGCGCTGTCTGGTAAAAATATAATTCAAGCCACCAAAGTGACTTCACGTTTTCTAGTCGCCACATTAGAAAAGTAAAATGGTGAAATTAACATTGAGGATATATTTTGTTTGACCCAGTATGTTAAAACCTTAATATTTCAATGTGTGACTGTTATAAAAATAAATGAGATATTTTGCTTTTTTTTTTTTTTAATTAAATATGAACTCTTTGAAATCTGGAGCGTATTTTACACTTTACAGCATGTTTTGTTCAGACTAGCTGCTTTCAAGAGCTCCATAGCCACGTGGGCGTGGCTGCCATCTTGGTCAGCGCCGCACCCGGCTCTTCAGGAATTGCTTCTCTCCCTGGTTTTGTTGAAAGTGAGAGGAAAAGCGAGGCCCAGGCCTGACTGGCTTCTTCTCACAGATGTCACCTTCCTGGGCCTTGGTTTCTTCAAGAAATGAAAACTTGGGACTAGCCCTGGTTCCAGGCCAGGTGGCATCTCTGGCCCTTTGGGTGTTGGGAGTTGTTTTTCTCTGTGTGGCACTAGCAGGGACGGTCAGTCCTCCCTTAGCTCGGCTACTTTCCTGGAGTGTTCCCTCCCAGAAAGAACCGGAATCACTCTCAGGCTAACCAGTGGTTTCATATATGAGGAAAAATAAGTTGCAAGGCAAAGTAGAAGTAGATATTACCCTTTTAGCTACTGCTAAAGTCCGCAAGACCACATGAACGACCCAAAAATAGAAGTCTTTTTTCTTTAAGAGAGAGAGTGGGTAGTGGGAGGAGGGAGGAGGGAGGGCCAGAGGGAGAGACTCTCAGGCAGACTCCATGCTAAGCGTGGAGCCGGACACCAGGCTCAGTTCCACAACCCCAAGGTCACAATCCGAGCTGAAATCAAGGGTCAGACACTCAACCAACTGAGCCACCCAAACTCCCCAAGAAGTCTTTTTAGTAGCAACTTTTGAGTACCAGCTCAGGGTGGTTCTCTGTTTTTAGGTTTTTGTTTTTTGTTTTTTTTTGTTTTGTTTTGTTTTGTTTTGTTTTAATGAGCACGTCTCCTAGAATGCACAGAATTTGTGTTCTAAGGTTCATCATATTCTGCATTTCTATGAGACTGAAGTAGAATTCTCACAGCAGTGTCCCGGGAACACTGTTTCCAGAAAACTAGTTGATAACTATTCTTTGTATTTCCTTTATTTTTTAGTTTTCTTTGTCCCATCTTGATGAGGTTGGCATTTAGAGAGTAGCTGGCATTTATCATTGATTCTGAGGCATTTTTTCATGTATCACTACTTATTTCCTTTCTCTCACCCTCATTTTCTCTTGGTCTATATTGTTATATATTTATATATGTCTTTCCAAAATCATGTAATCTTTGGAATTTCTAATGTAATAAATTCAGATATCTAAGCTAGATGTGTGACTCACAGGATAATTTCTCTTAGGGTGAGAGTTTTTTTCAGTGTGATTAAAGGATTACCTTGCATGTACGTCTTTAGAAAAAGGTGATAAATGGTTAAATTTTAGTTTTCTTTGAGAATTCAGAAGAGCGTTTAGATAGAATATTGAATTTAAAAAGTTAATATATACTTAACACATTTAAATTCTGTGTTTTGTTATTTATTTTTTAAAAGATTTTATTTATTCACTTGAGAACGAGTACATGCGCATGCACAATTGGTGGGGTGCTGGGTTGTGGCGAGGGAGAAGGCCTCTCAGAAGGATCTCAGAAGTCCTGAGATCGAGCCCTGAGTTGGGCCACCTGTTCAGCGGGGAGCCTGCTTCTCCCTCTCCCTGCTCTGCCTGCTGCTCCCCCTGCTTCTCCCTCTTCCTCTGCCTCTTCCCTGCCCAAGCTTTCTCTCTCGGACAAATAAATAAAATCTTTTTTTTTTAAATAAAATCTTAAAAAAAAAAAAAGAGAAAACCTTTAAGGAGCTGCCAGACTATTCACAGGACTGCGCTATTTTGCATTCCCACCATTGGTGCACAAGGGTTCCAGTTTCTCCATATTCTCACCCACACAGGTTTTCTGTGTAACGTACTACAATCGGCTTTTTTTCCACTTAGCATCACCCCCGAGATCCGTCCGAATTGCTTCACGCATCTGTAGTTTCTGAGGGTGATTTACTGTGAGTAATGGTCCATGGTGTAGATGTCAAATTTCCCTGTTAATCTACTGTGGGACGCTGGGAGTGTTTCCAGAGATTGGCTGTTATGAATAACGCTGCTGTGGGTATTAGTGTTCAGGTGTTTGTGTGTACGTAGGTTTTCATTTTTCTGGGATCAGCATCCAAGAGTGCAGTTGCCAGGTCTTGTAGTAAATGCATGTTTAATTATATAAGAAACTGCCCACTTGTTTTCTGGGGTACCCATACCATTTTCTATACCCTATTTATTTTTAAATATTAAATTTTATAGAAGACTGAAGACTTTTCTCCTCTCCCGTTTTGCATGTTCAGAGTTAGGAAACAAAGTGAAAGTACAGGGTATCTTGAGTTGACTTTTTTGGAGAAGTGAACACAAGTTGTGATCATAAGGCCACTGGCTGAAAATCCCGATGGCTTTAGGAAATCTAAACCAGTGCTGTTACTAAGTGTCGTGTAGCTTTCTGTAACGGTGTTGTCCAGTACATTAGGCATTAGCCATATGTGGCCGTTTTAATTAAATTAAGATGAAATAAAGTAAAAAATTGAGTTGTGCTGCCAGCTACATTTCAGGTGCCCGCTAAGTCACATGTGGCTGGTTGCTACCATAGTAGACACATAAGGTATATAGTATGTCATCATCATAGAAAGTTCCGGTAGTGTTGTTCTAGAATATGTGTGTTTCCATTTTAATTGCTGTGATAACATTAAAAATCATCTGATTCCATTGGCTAACTGCCAGGGTTTTTTGGGAACCCGACTGGTGATAGGAGAGTCCCTCAGTGCCTCTGAGTCCCTGAATGTTCCAGAAGGCTGGGCCTGGGTCTTACTCATCTTGGCACTCCAGAGACCCACCACAGGAGGTGGCATCACAGACCGGTGGAATGTAAGTGGTGGTTTTATTTGCTGGTGAGGTGAACTAAAAGTTTTGTTCTCATCTAGATGATGAGGAGGAGGAGCCAGAAGACGAGGACCAGGAAATACGAGATAAGAGTCTGCCCAGGTGGCAGATCTGGCTTGCCGCTGAGCGGTCCCGAGACCAGAGGCACTGGCGGCCGTGGCGCCCTGATAAGACCAGGAAGCAAACCGAGGAAGACTGCGAGGACCCAGAGAGACAGGCGAGTGTCCCACCCCGGGTGGGAGGCCAGCCGCCGGGTTCTTCCCTTCTGCCCATTCCCACAGGCTTTGCTTGCCTGCAGGAAGCTTGCCGGGTGCTTGGGGCACTAGCCTGGCTTGGGAGAGGTTAGCTTGCTCCTGACCTCTTGTTCCTGTTTCTGGAAACCTCACTGCTCACTGGTGATATGGGAGCGTGGAGGAACCTGACCGGATAGTTCCCATTCCCAAGTAGGAGGGAAGGACTCTCCGGAGACGGTCTTCCAGTTATCTGGCTAGTTTTTCACATGGAAGCCTGAGGACTCGGGGTTTTCAAGACGTGGTATCGCTGTCCTAGGTTATGTAGCTCTGTCCACGTTCCCCATCGCACTCTTGTATCCTCAGAGAGGTAGCGATAAGTTTGACTCGGGAGGACAAGGGGACCTGGGTATAGAGGCCGAGCTGAGACAGTCGCTACACGGCTAGTGCTGCTGGGGAAGCAGCTCCCGTTCCTGGAGCCGCTGTGGTGCACCAGGCACTTACGTTTTCTCGTTTACTGTTGTGGAACGACCTGACCCGTGCTGCACTGGTGGCCGGCAGCTCTGCAAGTTTTATGTTAAAGGAAGAGCTTTTACTTGGAGCCTGAAAAGGACCCAGTTTCCTAAGACCCGGCTGTACTGCTTGCCATGCGACGCGCTCTAGGCATAGACCAGCAGGTGTTCGCAGTCGCGAGGCTCATGAGCTCTGGCCTGGTTTGTTGTCTGTGTCCCTCCTTGCGATTTTCGTGCTGCCAGGGTGGGGATTTTTGCCCGTTTCCTCCCTGCGGGATCACCGGTGCACGGACCGTGCCTTTCCTGTGCTGACTGCTCAGTTGACGTTCCCGGATGTCGAATGACTATTCGATGCCGGGTCTTCTGCTCCAGGCCCAGCGACCAACACGAGTGCCCGGAATGTTTGAGGAGTGGCAGACATGGTTGGGACCCAGGGAACTGGGGAGCTCTGGGTGGGAAGGAGGGGCCGATGCCAGGGACGCCGCCGCTCAGCTCCACAATGCTGCACGCGTGGCGTTTCCTTTCCTGGCTGGCATCCCTTTCCTGGCTGGCGCCGCGCGTCAGGAAGAGCAGGGCGTGCGGTGGTCGACGGTTTTCTAGCGTTCAGGGTCACCTGGCCAGAAGTTAGTCTGAGGCTCAGAGTGCCAGTGGTTTTCTGGAAGCTCGTTTCTGGACCAAACTTCCACTCTGAGCAGTTCCTTGTCCCTTAGCTTTTTTTCTAATCAGAGCCTGGAGGAGAGAAGCTTTCTGATGAATTGACAGTTCTGAGGAGGCTGACCCCAGGGAGTCCAGTTTTTCTGTGCTCACGCTTTGGCTTCCTCTCTCCTGGGAGCCTTGGAGACCAAGCAGGTCAGCTGTGCCCTGAGACAGAGGCCGGCCTTCGCGGCCTCACACTTTAAAGTGTTGGCATGAAATCAGCCGCGGACGGGTCCAGTTAGCGTCTGGCCTTGAATTGCGCTTGCCACGGCCCATGGCTGCTGGAGTTTTCTTCCTGCCCTGCTGCTGTTTATCTACCTTTTAGCATATTTTTCATTTCTGGAAGCAATTTTGTATGAAGAAGCCACCAAATAATAGAATTCTTTTTTTTTTAAAGATTTATTATTTTTAGAGAAGGGGGCAGGGATAGAGGGGGAGAGGGAGAGAGGATCTCAAGCAGACTGTGCTGAGCGCAGAGCTTGACGCAGGGCTCGATCTCACAACCCTGAGATCAGGACCTGAGCCTAAACCAAGGGTCTGATTCTCAACCCACTGTGCCACCCAGGTGCCCCCAAATAATAAAATCCTTATTTTCTATCTTAAACAGTTTTGGCGATTGTAATTTATCAGAGTAACTACAAAAGCAGTTATGTGTGCTTTCAGGAGTGAGTACGATCCTAGATTTTCTATGAATTCGTTAGGCTCCTTTGGAAGGTTTTGGCTTAAGCCCATTCCAGGTACTGCCTCCTCCTGAGGGTGCCTGGGCAGCGTGACGATGCCACCAGCCCCCCGCCAGCTCCCCTCCATCTCTCCGGTGCCTGGTGAGGCCTCTAGCTTTTTTGCATCTTGCAGGAAACCTAGCTCTTGTCTGTTTAAAGTCTAATAAGAATAATGTTGAATCATCAGCACACCCACATGAAAGGGCCCCAGGAAAAGTCGTGAAGCCTTGTCTCTGGTCTGTCGCAGTGAACGAGCTGCGCTCCCGGGCGGGCTGCCTCACCGCGTCTCTGTTACAGGTGCTGTTCGATGACATCGCACAGTCTCTGATCCAGCTCTCCAGCCTGGATCTTCAGTTCCAGCTGGTCACGGCCTTTCTGCAGTTCCTGGGTGTGCCTTGTGGCTTCAGCACCCCGGCCTCCTGCGTCTACTTGGCCATGGATGAGGACAGCATCTTTGATAACGGGCTTCATGATGAAAAGCCACTGACTTTCCTCAACCTGTCCTTCAATGGCATCAGCTGTGTTGGCCGCTCAGACCCCCTGGGCTGCCGTCGCTGGACCCGCGGTCACAGTCGAGAGGGCGAGGAGTTCATCCGCAACGTCTTTCACCTTGTGATGCCTCTGTTTTCAGGCCAGGAGCGGTCCCAGCTCTGCTTCTCCTGGCTACGGTACGAGATGGCGAAGGTAACTCCGGCCTCCCCTGCTCCGTGCGGGGGCTTCAGAAACGATCTCGGGGCTCCTGGTGTTCCTCAGCACTGGGCTTTGGCCCCTTCTTATTCACAGACCCCCCAGGCTCCAGTATGTGGCTGCCCCTGCTGAGCGGTGTGGGAGGGGCCCTGTGTATGCTGCTCGCCAGTGACTGGAGCTGTTTGTTGTGTTCACTCTTCTGCCAGATGTCTGGGATTATACGAGCAGTTACTGTGAAGACCCAAGCTTAGGCGGGGGTTAGGGGGTTTCCGGGTTTATTAAAAGATAAAACAAGTTACTTACCTACCTTGCTCTTCATCGCGATTAGGTATTCTTCTAGGATGGACTCTTCTGCCCTCTGCTGGCCACCGGTTAGTATTGACTCTTAACGCCCAGCGCTCTGGCGCTTAAACTACACGGATTGCACACACGGGGACATGTTCTGAAAATAGTGTGCGAGAAAATTTGGTGGCCTCCTGTCACTGGAGAAGGATACTTGGACAAGACGAGCCTTGTTTACCGAGGTTTCCAGTGGAAACCTGGGTGCAGTCGTTTGGGGGCGCCAGTAGCCTTGGTTCAATCCTGATTTGTTGTCCAGCTCAGGGATCCCACATGATTGGCAACCCTGTGATGCAGGAAGGAAGTGTAGACACCCGTGTGGCTTTCTGAAGCGGACAGAACAAGGGGGTTGCTTGAAAATCACAGAGCACACAGGAGTCCTTTTCTTTTTACTTCCAGGTCATTTGGTGTCTGCACACTAAAAACAAGAAGAGGTTAAAGTCACAAGGAAAGAACTGCAAAAAACTCGCCAAAAATCTCCTTAAGGAGCCAGAAAACCGCAACGATTTCTGCCTCTGGAAGCAGTATGCACATCTGGAGTGGTTGCTCGGCAACACGGAAGACGCCAGGAAGGTGTTTGACTCAGCGCTCAGCCTGGCGGGTGGTGGGGAACTGAGGGGGTCCGAGCTCTGGGAGCTCGGCCTCCTCTACGCGCAGCTGGAGCTGGAGCTGGAGCTCTCGGCTGAGGTGAGGGGGGCCGCCGCAGCCCGGGCCGTGCACGTACTGACCAGACTGACGGAGAATGGGCCCTATGGGCCCTACTTGGGGCCGGTCTCGGCCGTTCATGTCCTGAAAGCCCGGAAAGCTTACGAGCACGCGCTGCAGGACTGCCTGGGGCAGAGCTGTGGCTCCGCTCCAGCTCCCGCTGGCCCCACTCACCGCCTCGTGAGCCTGGCCAAGTGCTTCCTGCTCTTCCAGTATGTAACTGTAGGCATCGAGGCCGCCGTGCGGCTCTACGAGCAGGTGTGTGCGGGGCTGCGGGGCTCGGTGTGCCCGGGTGGCACTCTCGAGGCTGTCACGCTGCTGCATACGGGCCTGCTCCGGTTCCACACCAGGGTCCACGTTTACCCCCTGGCTCCCCTGCGCCAGGTGCTCTCAGAGGCGATACAGCTGTACCCAGACAACCAGCTTCTCTGGAGGGCCTACGTACAGGTTCAGAGCAAGTCCCACGCAGCCAGTAAGACCAGAAGGTTCTTCGATGCTGTTACCAGGTCCGCCAAAGCCTTGGAGCCTTGGTTGTTCGCGATTGAAGCTGAGAAAATGAGGAAGAGGCTGGTGGAGACCGTTCAGAGGTAGGTTCAGACGTCTTGTCCGTGTATCCACAAGCCTTTGTGGTGTGTTTGCTGTGACCCCACTGCCCTGCGAGGCCTCTGGGATCCAGAAGCAAATACGGGCCAGTGCCCAGAGCGCTGCTGTGGGTGTCCTGGTGACATAGGATGACCTATTGGAAGAAGACTGCAGTGGCTTTGTTAGGGGCTCTCATGGCTGTCTGCCCGGACCATGCGTTTTGGGCTCCTGAACGTTGCTGATGGCGTGTGGTGGGGCCGGTCAGGCATTCTGCTGTCTGAGCAGTGGTGGGGATAGCACGATGGGCAAGAGCAGGGGCTCTGGAGTTGGACTGTGGATTCAGATCCCAGCTCTTCCACATCCCAGCCATGTGGCCTTGGGCAAGTCCCATCCCCTCGAATAGGTTCCCCTTCTGTAAGGTGAACGGTAGCCTCCTGCAAGGACTGCTCAGAGGGGCCAAGCAGGGAGGGGCTGAGCAAGAGGGAGTGTGAGAGAGTTACTGGCCTCTGTTTTTATCACTGGCGATGACGGCATCGCGTTCTACGTGTCGTCTCTTGATCCGGTGAGTGTGTGTCTGAAGGTTAAGTGACTATCACGGTGGCTTCGCTTTGACCTCTTATCAGCCGATGACTCAGTGTTGCCTCTGAAGAGTGTGTCGCTTTTTTATTTCTTCCATTGGGATTTTATTCATTCTATGTCCCCTAAGTCGAAAGGACTTTCCTCCCATCAGGTAGCATTCGCATTCTGCTGAGTAAAGGGTGGGCTTGGCTCTAGAGAGCGGAGATGCAGGGAGATCGTGTGTGAGTTCTAGGTGGACTCTGGCATAGAGAACACGGAAGCCTGGGCACTGCCTTCCTCTGGCCTTGGAGGGGCCCCATCATGTCTGCAGCCTGCGCCCCCAGGATCCCCAAACCGGGCGATGGCACCGTACCTGGCATACTGATCCTGCCGGAGCGGACATTGGCAGTCACTAACGCTCCTCTTCCGCCAGCGCCAGTGGTGGGGGGCACGAAAACTGGTCTTGGAGTCACGTGAGCCTTTGTCTTGCAGGGTGGATGGCAGAGAGGTCCATGCGACGATTCCTGAGACCGGCTTGGCTCATCGGGTCAGAGCCCTGTTTGAAAGCGCGTTGCAGAGTGACCATGGCCGCCTGTGCCCCTTGCTGTGGAGAATGTATTTGAACTTTTTGGTAAGAAAATGTTTAGCGTTTTTGTTTTTCTGTAGAGTTCCATTGCTTCCTCCGTGTAGGGGAGAACGTGCAGGTGTCCAGTGACCACCGGCCAGGAAAGCTGGCAGGGGCCTACTTTTCCCCTACACCTTGTCAGCCTCGATGAACCCTTCTGAGGACCCTAGTGGAGTCATGTCAGGTCGCTCTGGACGTGGGAGGGGGACGCAGGCTGCATCGCTCCCGGGGGCTTTGGCAGAGTGATGGGAATCATCGCTGGGCGGTTCGCAGCGGAACCTCGTGTGGCTCTCTCAGGGTTGACTTCCTCGAGTAACAACTTGAAAGTGGCCTAAGAGCTTTCATTAGAAAGAGACCTTCATTCTCTGTCATCTGTTCATAAGAATTCCCAGGTTCTGATTCTGCTCTGTCGTTAAAGTAAGATTCGCCCTAGAATGTAATGTTGACAATGGGTCTTTCTCTCCTCTTGACAAAGGAGCTTTGTTTTCGCTCAAAAATACCATAGTTGGTGACTGAAGACACAGAGATGCCGTTTGATCGTGTTACTCTGTGTGTGGAGGCTGGAAGGCGCTTCCTGGGCCTCGTGGAGTCTGTGGGTTGACTTTGCCTTTCGTTAAGAACCTGGCATTGGGATGGGCCTCATTTCCTGGAATTTATCTGCCAAGTCGCGTGGTTTTTTGGAAATGTAGTCTCCTAGGCCACTCGAGTGTTTCAACTTAAGGCTACTGAATCCCATCCAAGGGATCGCTGATGAAGGCTGTACTTTTCAGAAGCCAGGAGTGACCTTCCTTGCTTCTCTGCTTATTTCCACTGGATAAATTCTCAAGGAGTCAAAGTATTTGAACTTTTCCAATAGAAACATGACAGAGTTGGGTATAAAGGGATGTGGAGAAAGTAAGCTATGGGTTAGGAGCACTTTGGGCCTTCCCCATCTTAGACTTCAGACTTCAGCTTGGTGGGCTTCCTCTGAGCGGCAAGGAGGACACGGGATGTCAGGACAGCAGCTTACGGGCATGCTGAGGACGAGGAGGCACAACCTTGTTGGCCGAAGTCAGTATTGAGTTGAACTAACCCAAAAGTCTGTGTGGTTTTCGCTTTTTTAATATGTAAGATTTAATTTATTTATTTGTCAGAGAACAAGCAGGGGGAGCGGCAGGCAGAGGGAGACAGAGAAGCAGGTTCCCAGCTGAGCAGAGAGCCTGAAGGGGGGCTCGATCCCCGTACCCTGGGATCACGACCCAAACTGAAGGAAGATGCTTAACCGACTTAGCCACCCAAGCACCCCGGAAGTTTGTTTGTGTGGTTTTTTCCCCCTAACATTTATTCATCAGACCCAAAGGCTCAGGTTTTAGGTTTTGGCGTCCGTGTGTGAAACAGAAACCTTCGGAAGTCCAGATGCTGCTGTGGTCACAGCACACCGTGGTTACCGCCTGTTAATCGGTGTAGAGGAGGGCAACTTGGTGGAGAGCGGTCAGGAGAACTGGCCTCCTGCTGCATTACCGCTGCTCCTGTGCTGGGGCCACCCAGCTGAAGGAGCAGGTGCTCCCTAAAATTCCCAGTGCTGATATCGTGTGAGTCTTTCTAGCAAGTGCAAGATCTTGAAATGTGAAAAGGAGGGCTTGCAGACTTTCCTGTTTAACTCCCCCTGTGGTTGTCGGTAGAGACGGGTAGGGGAAAGATGGACTTGCGATTATAAGGAATCTTCCAAGAGCCAGATTTGGTTGGATCATAGAAAAATTCTCCCTGACTTGGGAGAAAAGATTGGGGCCCTTAAGGAATTTCTGTCTTTCTGGAAAGGTTAGCATTGGAGCAAGGACAAGTTTGAGCGGGACTTCCTCTCGCAGCTCCTGAAGCATCTGGGTTGGCCACCAAGGCCTTGATGACCCTGTGAAAAGCTCCAGTTAGGGCCAGAATGCAAGGTGAGGAGAGATCCGAAGGGAGCCGGCTCCGCGGAGGAGAGCTGGTGCTTTCTGTGTGTGTGTGCGCACACATGCAGATCTACACACACTTGAGCCTTTTTCCACATTTGCTTTTTCTCCTGCAAAAGTGATGGATGGGATTGGAGGTGCTCATTGGCCACAGAGGACATGGGAGAAGGAAGGGATTGGCAGCTGGCGGGTCAGCCTGTATGGAAAGGCCAGCACTCAGAAGAGCCGCTGGGAGGGCGAAGAGTCGTCTTCAGTTTACCATGCTGGTTGTGGGGTGGGGGTCGTAAGCTTCCACAGGACTGTCCTCTCCTCCCTGGAGCATTCAGGGTGTCGTGGAAACATGGCTTTTTGTTTGGGTTGGGTTATCAGTTGGGTCAAATTATTTTTTAAAGTGTTTTATTTATTTGACAAAGACACAGAGAGAGAGGGAACACAAGCAGTGGGAGTGGGAGAGGGAGAAGCAGGCTTCCTGCTGACCAGGGAGCCCAATGCGGGGCTTGATCCCAGGACCCAAGAATCATGACCTGAGCCGAAGGCAGAGGCTTAACCCACTGAGCCACCCAGAGGCCCCGGGTCAAATTACTTTAAAAAAGTTGTATTCACTAAAGCCGCTTGCTCAGGTGGGTCTACAGTCAGATAGAAAAGAGAATCAAATCATACCAAAGCCCAAAGGCCTTCATTTTCCCTTTGCCACTGATGCTACCTCTGCCGGGTGGTGGCGGCTGACACCAGGTGAGAGGGGACCCAGGGGCCCAGACAGGCGGTCACTGGGCGCCAGCTGCGTCTCTGAACAGGGCACTCTCACACTTGGTCGTGTAGGGGCAGCGGCACCCTCCCACACGGCTGTGTGGCTTTCTGGGCTCGGGTCCGGGTGGCGGGCCCACAGTGCCAGACCTTTGCAAGGACTTGCGTCCTCTGCTCACCAGGGTCATGTTGGCCGAGCCCTTCCTGGGGCGGGGGGTGTGAGGCCCCCTTCCTGACCAGAGAGGCGTCTGCGTGCAGCCCGGGCTCCCGCTTCCCTTTGCAGACCAGTTGTGCTCGCGTGGAGAGCGGCCCCTTCAGTTCTTTGTTCGATTCCTGTCCTAATGCTGGGGGTCGCCCATCGCTCTTGTTTCAGCCTGGGCTTAGGGATCTACGAGAAGTCACGGTTGGTCAAGACGAGGAAACCTAGAGCATGAGGCAGGACGCAGACAGCCAGGGCGGCTTGTGTTCCCGGGAGGCTCTGCGCTCGTGAGAGGGAGCGGATGGCTACAAGACTGGGTCTTAGAATAGGAGATCCTGTGTGGAGACAACCAGGGGTCACCACCGAGCTGTCGCCTGCCATCAAACCCTCCCGAACCTGAGAGCCTAGGCCTTCTCCAGTGGCTGATGGAGGGAATCGTGGGAGTGGTTTGCATTCGAGTCCCGCTGACTGATGTAGCTGAATTTGCTGGGTTCCGGGGCTATCAGTGAGCCCCACAGATATAGTGCCTAAGAATGGACAGTCGTGCAATTTTTCCTTCTTTCAAGAACAAGAAAACAGTGTCCTAAGTTTATGCGAGGATGTTGAAGTATTCTGGTGTGTGAAGGAAGGCCAGCTGGTGCTGGTTCCTTGCGTGTGAATTCAGAGAAGTCCAGCTTTGGGAGGGAAGGCAGGAGTCCCTGGGCTGGGCGGCTGGCTCTGGGGTTGGCGAAGGCCTGTTGTCCCAGGTGCTGGCTGTGGCCCATTAGTCTGTTTCTGCGAGGGTTAACCTGAGGGAACTGAAAAGGAAGGGCAGCCGTCCCCGGCAGACAGAGAGCCTGAGCCACAGTCTCGAGATGCGTCCCCCAGGTTCTGCGAGTCAGTCCTGTGCCAGAGGCCATGCACCGGCCGCCTGGTAGGAAGAGCCAGTGGCACCTAGAAGGCTCTCCCTTTAGGAATGGGAGCCTGGAGGAGGTGGGTGGGGAGAAAGCCCAGGAACAGACTTGAGCTCCATGAGCCTGGCTGGTGCCCGCCGGCCAGGGGAACGGCCCTTCGGGGCTGTGGTGCCTTCGAGGAGCTACTGAGCGACAGATCCCTTCCTGGGACCGGGACACGCCCAGGGAAGGGGATGGTGGGGACATGTGTGTTCTTTCCATGCCCACTGGAAACTGGAGCATGTGTCTAGGGGCTGGACTCAGGATTTTACACCTGGAAAGAGAACATGCTGAGTGCTTGCAGGCTGTCAGACTGAAATTCCTGACCAGGAGTTTATTTTTATTAGTTAGGTGCGGACTCGGTGATGCTGGTTGTCTCATTCCTCTAAGGTTTTAGAAAACGGCAAGTGTTACGGCAGACATTGTGTGTGTGTAAAGTCATCAGCCTCGTCTCACACACACGGCCTCGCTCTAGGCACTGTTCTGACACAAGACACCGTGGTCCCCAGTGGAGGAGGAGGTAGACTGGTCAGAAGTCAGAGGGCCCAGTCTCCTCTGGGTCCATCGGTGCAGGGGAAACATCACACAGCAGTGGCCCCGAGTGTGCCCTGTGGCACCTGGACCCCTGCCCAGCAGCCGCCGTGACAGTTCCAGCTGCCCCCCTCCATGGGCTGGCTGGCCACTGCTGAGCCCCCATGCAGATCAGGACAGGGTGGTTTCTGTGGCCTTAGGCTCTCTGCCTCAGTTAATCCTTTTTGTAATTCTCCTCTCTGCCTCAGGTTTCCTTGGGAAACAAAGAAAGGAGCAAAGGCGTGTTCTACAAAGCACTTCAGAATTGTCCTTGGGCAAAGGTAAGTCCCAGAGACCATGAGACCTGCACATGCCCTGTGCCCTTCCAGCCTCGGGGCCCACCCATCCGCATCCCTAGGGACAGGGCACATCCTGGACCACGTCATAGGGATCCTGTCCCCAGTGGAGGCTTGGCTGAGGGGCACGTGTGCACGCCCTGTGCTGGGGCTGGTGTTTCACCGGAGCCTGGCTGCAGGCAGGGGTTTCCATCATCTGGCGGGGTTCAGCCCAGGTGCTCAGCGTGGGGCCCCGTGGCCCAAGGCTGTCTTGCCGAGCCCAGTCAGGAGGCATATGGGGACTGTCCCGTCCACCAAGTCTTGCCCCACTTTAGAGAAAGAAGGCCTCGCTCAGGTCCACTTACTTCCAGCCCCAACTTTGTGAGTTCCGTGTCCTTCTGGAACCCGGTACCCAGGCGCCGCCAAGTCCAGATGGCGACGGGGAGGGCAGGCTGGCTAGCGTGGGACTCCTGCCCTAGGCGCTGTACCTGGATGCCGTGGAGCACTTCCCCGAAGAGATGCAGGAGGTCCTGGACCTGATGACGGAGAAGGAGCTCCGGGTGCGCCTGCCCCTGGAGGAGCTGGCGCTTCTGCTGGAGGACTAGAGACCAGGAGGGAACGGGCCCTGCCTTCTAGGCCTCGTTGCCTGCCCTGCCGGAGCTGGGATGCATGAGACTGGGGACGCCTGGGTGCGTGTGTTCCAGGAGCTCTGCTTTTGAAGTCTAGCTTTCTTAGTACTTTGTACCTGGGTCATCGGTTTCTTATCTCTTGCACATTTTTTTGGATGTGCAAAATGACACAGAAGCTGTTTTTTACACATTACATGTGTGAATATGTAGATACGAATCACGCCTAGTGATAAGGAAACCTCTCGTGGTTGGCGTGTGCGAGTTTGTGCTCTTCCTCTGCTCCCTGCCCAGCCCCCCCCCCCCAACACGTGCGCCCCGTTGGTTGGCATTCTTGGGGGTCCTGCCAGGGTTTCTGGGTCTTGTAGTCATGACAGGAAAGGTCTGGTGACTCTAGAACCTCTTCCCCAGGCCGGTTAGCAGGAGAGCAGATTTTGCCCTTCTCTTCAGGCCAATCAGTGGAGTCATTTAAAACTCAGTGTTCTGGCCTGTATCAAGTGCATTAAGTTCCTCAGGGTCCCTAAGCTCTTCTTGACGCCTCCCAGCTGTGGACCAGCAGCACCACCTGGGCGCCTGGCAGAGACGCAGCCTTGCGGGCCCACCTCAGCCCTTCTGAGTCCGGCTGCACTTGAATGGGACCCCTGGAGACTTACGAGCACGCAAGCGTGGAAGGAACCCCTACTGCAGGAAGCGCACGGGCAGCCATGCGAGCGGAGTGCGGAATGGAGCCTGCGGCTTCCTACCAGACCACCCCCTGCCCCTGCCCGCGAGAGGGTCGTGGCAGCCTTCATCCGGGTGCAGACAGAGGCCAGTAGGTGTCTGAGGATTAGGAATGGAATGAAATGGACATCTCTACGTTCAGACCACTTTCTTCTGCAAGGGACATGCCCGCAGTTATTAACTGTTAATATTGAACTGGGAGGAAACTGCTTTATCTTCTCTGAGCCCCTGCTCTTAAAAAAATCAAAACCCTGATGCCTAGAATTGCTGAAGTTGTCATTCCTTGTCATCCTATCCAGAAAAACCAGTGTTGTAGAACAGAAATTTGGGCTAGAAAGAGCTGGAAAAGAAGGGTGACAAGTCAGAGCCCCTGAGGAAGGTGGCTGGCCAGCCAGCCAAGTGGACACTTGCCTTGCCGGGCTTGGACACACGCGTTTGGATATGGACCTGCTCTGAAAGGAGAGAAGGGCAAGACAGGGAAGGGGAAGCTTTGATACGGTTTTGTGCATCCTAGAGAGAGATGAGGTTTCCGAACCTAAGAACGAGGGATGACCTGGGTGGCGAGCGGCAGACGTCAGCCCAGGCCTGTGGAGATTCCTAGTAGGAACACCACGGCTGCTTTCCTGCCTGAGTGCTGAGAAACCCGCAGGCTCCACAGACCTTCCAATACAGAAAGCGGTTTCCTTCCAAAGCCACAGCCACACTCTTCCACTGCAGAGACCACTGGCTCTGTGTCACGCCCTCCCACTAGCTGCTGTCCAGCTCTGCCACTAGCTCTGGGCACGTGAGGCAGGGCCAGAGGTGCTGAAAGCCCCCCTACTGCCCAGGTCCCCCTGCGTATTGCTGCTGAGTGCCGGGTGTGGAGGTTCCAGAAACGAGTGTGAGAAGGAGCACGCTTTATTGGAGACAGAGCACTGCACGGGACCAACAGGTGAAGGCAGCCTGGGGGGCATCCTACACGCTCAAAAAAGTACACAAGGAGGTTTTGCTAGTAAGAAAGATCAACTGGAACATGGGTTCCTCTGGGCAACTTCCCCAACCTCATCCCTTCAAGGGGTCAGAACAACCCCGACCACTTCCTTGAAGGCAGCTGTGGTCTGCTAGAGATATAGTCCCTCAGGGGTGCCTTCTTGTTTTTTATAAAGAACATTTTCTTTAGATTTCTTGAAGTCTTCATTTGTTACTTTCATTCTGCGTTCTCTCAAGGCCATCAGACCAGCTTCTGTACAGATTGCCTGTAAGAACGAACAGTATGTTCAGAAAGGGAAATACTTTTTACTTGTGCTCTGTCGATTCAGGAGCTACTCTGAAATCGGGTGTAAGACCCTTAGACTAAAGAAACTGCTTAAACTGTTTGGGAAAAGAGTAGATCTTTTCAATGTTTTACACATTCTAATTACTTTCTCAGGATCTGAGGTGGCTTTGAGGAGGAGGCCTGGCTCGGGTTCTAACTAGCAGGGTGGCCCGATGGGGAAGTTCTCTGCTCCACTCGATACAGGAGCCACGTTCCTTCCTGGGCACCAGATGCAATTACACCAGGACACTAGCGGCAACAGAGCATCCATCCAGTTCATTTACCCACAGTCAGAAGGGAACACGTATCACGTATTCTGGCTAGCTGTCTCAGGACAGCATTTACTGTGATTTATTTCCTCAGTCATCATTTGCCAAAAGCAAAACAAAAACCCATTCAACATGATGTGACAGAAACAATCCTGGCATTGACGTTTTTATCCGGTTACGGCCCTCAGGATATTTCAGATGGTTCAGCAGAAAAGAAAGTGTATTTGTGAACAAAAGATAAAGCACAACAGTAAAACGGTAACACTAGATAAATCAAGGTGGTGGGTACACCAGTACTTACTACTGCTGCAACTTTTCTGAAGACTTCAAATTTTTCAAAATACAAAGTTGGTACAAAATTTTAAAATAATTTCCATTTTAAAAAGAGCTTTTAAAAAAAAAAAAGAGCTTTTTATTCACCAACACAGACACTCACCTAGTTCTTTAGAGACCAAGGATACGCAGCTCGGTGCAGGCAGCAGTGTGAAAAGGCCCCACGTGTGCTGTCCTGCCCTGACCATGGTACTTAAACCTGACAAAGACCCAGGTTCTCACCTAAAGAGCAGGCTGGACCCAGATCTGATGCTGCCAGCCTCCCCCCCACCCCCGCCCCATGAAACTGAGAGGTACGACCCAGCCCAGGTTCTCACCTTGATATCAGCACCCGAGAGGTCATCTTTAGCCATGATCAAGTCGTCCAAGGTCACATCATCGGCCAGCGTCATCCTGCTTGTGTGGATTTGAAAGATGCGCTTCTTAGTCTTCTCATCGGGCAGGGGGAACTCAATCTTCCTGTCAATGCGACCTGTGGGTAGAAAAGGTTTCCAGTCACAGCGCTGCGCAGCCCCCAGGTGTGGTTCCAGCTCAGGAAGAGTCTGAGCCCGTGTCCTCACTCACACAATTTCAGTCAGACAGCACCCTGTGTGTGTGTGGGGGTGGGTGTCCAAATCCCGAAAGGTGAACATCCCTCTTGTAGTCATAAATGTCAGCATTTGAATTCATCCAATCTGAAAGAGATCGGCTCTGCTGGGGAACCCTTAGAAATAAAGGAAGGGCTCCTGAATGGCCTATGTAGTGAAAAAGGACAGATTGTGTTAAAAACATTACAAAAGCATAAACAAATTAGCCACTGCTGCAGCCTGGTGCCACCTGAATGTAAAAAAATGAACCTGAGTTAACATATGAATTATTCCTTCAGAAAAAAGAATATCCATTATGGGAAAGAAAAGATCACAATTTATGATTAGAATTAAAAGGGCTACACTCACTGCATCACATCCTTCCTTAACCACGACCTCAGGGGATGCGGTCTTTAGTAAGTTACTCTGCATTTCAGTCACGTGTTTGCCTTGATACATATTATTTTTCTTTTAAAGGTTTTATTTATTTGACAGAGAGATCACAAGTAGGCAGAGAGGCCGGTGGGGGGGGGTACCAGGGAGAAGCAGGCTCCCTGCTGAGCAGAGAGCCTGACGCAGGGCCTCATCCCGGGACCCTGAGACTATCACCTGAGCTGAAGGCAGAGGCTCAAACCACTGAGCCACCCAGGTGCCCTGATAACACATTGTTCTTAAATCCCCTGCCCATGCACTTAAAAACACGGTCATACACAGACACGACAGCTGTCCCTGGTAGAACAAGCAAACTGACCTGGTCTGATAAGAGCTGGATCCAACGTCTCTATTCGGTTTGTGGCCATGATAACTTTCACGTCACCCCTTGAATCAAATCCATCCAACTGGTTCAGCAGCTCCAGCATTGTTCGCTGAATTTCTCTCTCACCACCAGAATTTGAGTCATACCTTTGAAAAAGAAGAGAAGGCGTGAAAACCTAACTGATGTGCTGAAGGATAACTCAGACGCCCTCAATTCTAGCAACAAAATCACACCCTCCCATCATGTTGTTTAAATTGTAGAAGTTTTCATGCCTGACATTGTATCATTAATTCAGTCTCCATGTTTGCTATCTGAGCTGCCAACCCGACCGGGAGCTCCTCGAGGGCAGAGGCTTGCATACAGTGGCTGTGTGCCTGAAGTCCAGATGATGCTTGGCTCCGAGCAGATGCTCGGGACACTGCTCCGGACTAATCTCCAGGCAGTCACAACTCCTGCGTGATTGTTACCTGGCACCTGGGAAAGCAGAGCCTAAAGCATCCAGAGTACCATGGGACGGTAGGAACTGTGGCAAACCCACGGGCAGGCCATCCGGAGAGTACACAATGATCTTTCTCAGAGAAGAGCTCTGGGGCTTTTATCTCTGCTCAAGACAAAGAGAGAAATGTACCTTTTTGTTCCAATGGCATCAATTTCATCAATAAACACAATGGATGGTGCGTGTTCTTCTGCAACTCGAAACAATTCCCGAACGAGTTTGGGCCCGTCACCTAGGTACTTCTGAATAAGTTCCGAGCCAACCACTCTCAAGAAAGTGGCTGAGGTTTGGTTTGCTACTGCTTTGGCTAATAAGGTTTTACCTATTTTAGATTCAAAAAGAAAGAAAGGAAAAAAAAACCCTTAATTGCTATTTTAACTTAAAAACTCTTGTCACTTAAATGGGCATTAGAAATGGGTAGATCCTGGGGTGCCTGGGTGGCTCTGTGGGTTAAGCCGCTGCCTTCGGCTCAGGTCATGATCCCAGAGTCCTGGGATCGAGTCCCTCATTGGGCTCTCTGCTCGGCGGGGGGTCTGCTTCCCTCTCTCTCTCTCTGCCTCTCTGCCTACTTGTGATCTCTCTCTGTCAAATAAATAAGTAAAATCTTTAAAAGAAAAAAAAAAAGAAATAGGCAGATCCCTAAAAGGTATGCCCCCATTCCAGGGTCTTAACATTCTGCTCTCCGAGGCAGGTAAGAGGAAATTGAGAAAAACCTAAATAATGTTTTGATTATTTTTAACTATCTTCCTCATTCTTCATTACAGTGTCAGAAAGTACATTTTACTGGGTTATTCAAAGGTGTATAGATTATTAACCTAACTCATGCAACCACGGTTAGAGATCCAAACTCAACTCCTATAAAACTATTCGTGATGAGAAATGGCCTGCGAACCCTAGGTCTGACCTAAGGAACCTGACCTGGAGCACCAGGCCTGCAATCCCTGGGGCTGTGCTGGGTAGGCCTGCCCGGGGCTCAGCTGAGATAGGACCAGCTCCCGGGGAAGCCCATGACAGAGAACTGCTAAAAGCTCTAGAGACTTCTCAGTCTCTGGTATTCCCTTGTGAGGATCGTTCCTCTCAGGGACAATCTCAAACATTTCCAATTCTCCATTCCTTGATTTTTTTTTTTTTTTAAAGATTTTATTTATTTGTCAGAGAGCGAGTGAGCACACAAGCAGGCAGAGGTGGAGAGAGAAGCAGGTTCCCTGCCAAGCTAGGAGCCCGACTCGGGACTTGATCCCAGGACCTTGGGATCATGACCTGAGTCAAAGGCAGCGGCTTAACCGACTGAGCCACCCAGGTGTCCCGTTCCTTGATATTTCTATTTCAGGTCAAAAACAATAGCTGTGGCAGCCACCCTGTGAACTTTAGGGCTGGAAGACCACTTGGCCCCTTTGATGGTGAGGACATGGGCACAGGGCCAAGCCATGGTGTCAGGACACTGGCAGCTAGAGGCTGAGTCAGTAAAGCACTAAGCTTAGGCCTGCAGAGGGGCAGGGGGAGGCTGCCGGTAAGTGACACAGACTTAGTTCAAGTGGGAAGGGGGACAAGGCACTAAGCTTGAGAATAAGACGTGGTGACAATGTCTTTTTGGCCAGACAGGCAGAGGGGCAGGTGTGAGGGCTTAGAAGCATGGACTTCTCCCTGAGAGTACCAGTGAAGGATGGTGAATGGAAGACAAAAATGACCACCTAAGCAGATGGCCTCTGACCCTCCAGAGATAGCCTCGGCCAGCTGCTGGGTCCCTTCGGTGGCCAGCGGTATAACCAAGCCAGGCTCTTCCCCTCCTGATGGCCTGCCACCCTGTGCTCCAGCCCAGCCCCTCACATCAGCCCCTGGCAGTGCACATGCACCGAAGGCAGCCCACAGCTGCAGGTCAGGCGGCCTGCCTTCCAGCTCCAGCCCCGCCACCTGCTCAACTCCCAGGGCTTCCGCGGCCCTGGGCTAGTCACCCGCCTGAGTTTCCTGTGCTGTAAGATGATGAGCTACAACAGTTCCATGCCTCTGAGCTCAGTTCCTCCGGTTCCTCCACTGTGGGCAGCCCTCAGTGACCCCTTCAAAGAACTGTGCTTCCTCTGCAACTTCCACAGCAGTGAATTGCTAAT